GGGGGGGTGATAGATTTACAAGATGGAGGGGGCAGCCTGCTTTGGGAGTGAGAAATGGTATTACATGGAAAATTTTAACCAAATGGAGGACTGCGTCAATCTCTGTGGGCACGGTTGCTACATATGGCACTCAACTCACACCAAAGTCACAGAAAAGTAGTACAGGAGACTTTTGTCACTGTGACTTGAGTTGCATTGACAGCACCCATTGAACGAATGTGTTTTGACTTGGTATACAAAATTACATACAGTAGTTAGTCTGATTAGTTCAACCAATAAAAAGAAAAAAAAATACAATCCCATATACACAATCCTATACCCACAGTTGATCCAAAGGAAGGCAAAAAAACCAGCAGCAAAGCATGATCTAATATGCCCCAGCAGGAGAAAAAATTATTTCCTGATCCCCCAAGACACAATCGGATATTCCCTGGATCAACTTTACCTATAAATGTTAGTATCCAGTTAAATTCTGTGCATTTAGCAAATAATCCAGGCCTTTTTTAAAGCAATCCACTCAACAGGCCAAAGTCTATTCCACATTTTCAAAGCTCTTACTGTGAAAAATCCTTTCCGTATTTGGAGATTAAATCTCTTTTCCTCCAGACGTAAAGAGTGCCCCCTTGTCCTCTGTGATGGCCTTAAAGTGAATAACTCTACACCAAGTTCACTATTGGGACCACCTATGTATTTTTACATGTTGATCATATTCCTCCTTAAAGCAATTCTAAAGGTTCTTTTTTTTTTTTTTAAATAACAAACATGTCTGTACGTACCCGGTGTGTGCAGTGGTTTTGAACAGAGCAGCCTGGATCCTCCTCTTCTCAGGTCCCCCGCAGGCTCTCGTGGTTCCTCCTGTCTGTTGGGTGCTCCCACAGCAAGCAGCTTGCTCTGGGGGCACCCGCTGCTCCGTGTGTCCATTCACACACGGAGCCGCGACTTGCCCCCCCCCCCCTCTCCTCATTGGCTGACTGTCAGAGACCCAGGAAAGCTGAGGCTGACATTCACATCGCTGGATCGCGACGAGGCACAGGTAAGTATTATGGGGGCTGGGGGAGCTGCTGCACACAGAAAGTTTTTTACCTTCCTGCATAGAATGCAGGAAGGTAAAAAACCTTAAACTTTTACAACCACTTTAATCTCCTATTCTCAAGAGAGAATAAATTCATTTCCTCTAATCTTTATCTGATCTCCTCCATGCCTCTTATTAGTCTGCTTGCCCTTCTCTGCACTTTCTCCAATTCCCCAATGTTCTTTTTGTGAATTGGTGCCCAAAACTGAACCTCATATTCCAGATGAGGTGTTACTAATGATTTGTACAGGGGTAATATAATATCGATCTCTCTCTGGAGTCTATACCTCTTTTAATACAAGAGAGGATTTTGTTCTTTTTAGAAACCGCAGCTTGGCATTGCATGCTATTCTTAAACTTGTGATCTACCAGAACTCCCAGATCTTTCTCCACCATTGATTCCCCCAGTTGTACCCCCCCTAGTATGTATGATGCATGCATATTCTTAGCCTCCAAGTGCATGTGACTTTATGTGTCCCAGGTTGCATGATAAGACACACCAGGGTGAACTGGGTCTAAAGGTATGTCCCTTGTGCCGATTTCTCTGTTTATTATTTGGATTGAACTTAAGTTTTATTATTTTTTATCTAGGAAATTGGGAATAAAGTTGTACACTTTTTTTGTTATTGAAATCTATTTACATCAACTTTTTGAGTGCATATATACCCTTTCTACCTTGTGACTGTTACAGGAAAGGTAGAGATGTCTGTGACAGCCTGGATTCACCTCTGTATGTTGTGTGAGAGCCAAGACGGCTGCACCCAACAATGGAATAATTAGATCTCTAGAGAAAGAATAGAGCAGAATTTTGTCCATTGATTATGCAGCAGTTACACTGTATGTTTATCAGTTAAATAGTTCATATACGGCAGCAGGGGCGGACTGACCATTTGGAAACTCGGGCACTGCCCGAGGGCCCGGGGTCAGTAGGGGGCCCCATAAGATGCCCCTGGTACCTTTTTCATAGTCTTTTTTGAGTTTGGGCAAGGACACAGGGGCCCCATGATCCCCTATTGCCCGGGGCCCCATGAGTTGTCAGTCCGCCCCTGTACGGCAGTGTTCTCTTCAAAGTAGTTGTTATCCCTTAAATATACAGAGTGAAGTGATTGGCCTCAGATGATCCTCCTCCCCTTTCACACAGCACCCAGGAACAGAGATGAGGCTGTCAATCACAGGCAGTGTGCTGGAGATCCCTCCCCTGTCACTTTTTTTTTCTCTTGGTGTCAGGACAAATTGTCAAAAGGGATTCATGCTGATAGCATAGGAATGAAGCAGCAGACAGAAATGACACTTAGCAGAGGCATAACTAGAACCTTCAGGGCCCCGGTGCAAGAAACCATGAATGACCCCTTGGCCCCTGGCTGGGGCCCTTAACACTGGGTCCAATGGCCCTTCCCACTGATCCTGGAGCCCTTTACTCCTGTTGCAGTACCCTTTATTACAGTCCTGCAGCGGGTCCCCTTCCTTGTGGTCTTGGGGCCCCTCCATGGTGGCGAAAGAGCCTGATCACAAGTGCGACCTTTGCACCCTGGTAGTTCCGCCACTGGTGTCAGTAGTTTTTATTTATTTATTTTTTTTCACTATTTAAATTTTTATTTTTTTTGCAATTTTATTTTTTTCTTATTTTTTGCAATTTTTTTTAGAGGGCCTATTGGGGGACTTTGGTGAAATGTCAGGGGTCTAAACAGACCTCTGATGTTCCACCTTTGTAACGATGGAGATTGTTACAGCCCTCAATCTCCATCTCTGCAGCCTCAGCAGCACAGAATGCATGTACAGGAATAGCTCTGTACAGAGCTTCCCGTTCATTCACACATTGAAGCATAGCAAACACGATTTACTATGCTTCAGTTATGAATGGACAGAGTCAGTGATCGGTACTGATGCAGAAAAAGAAGGGGTTGGTAAATTACTTATTTACTAGCTCCTTCCCCGCTCTCCATCTTTACATCCCAGCTGTTGGCGGGAGAGAGGAGGGGGAACCCAGCAGCACTGCGGTGGGATGATTGGAGGCCAGGTGACCACACAGAGGCTTTGGGGGCAGCAGAACCTGCATAGGAGGGGTGGTAGAGGTGGCATATAGTGGAACCGGTCCCCTCCATTTTCCTCCTGCAGCCACTGAAAGACTACTTCAGGCTTTCAGCGACTGCAGGAAGATAATGAAGGGCATTGGTTCCTCTATATGTCATCCCCGCTGCCCCTCTTATCCAGGTGCACAGGGGAGCTGCACGGGCCCCCTTTAGCATGGGGCTGGGTCGCAATTGTGACCCCTGTAGGTACGCCCCTGACACTTAGTGCTCTTAATTGAGACAAGGACACACTATAGAGGGATACAGAGGGATGTCTGAGGTTTACAACCGCTTTAACCACTTGCCTACCAGGCACTTATACCCCCTTATTTACCAGGCCAATTTTCAGCTTTCAGAGCTGCCACACTTTGATTGACAATTGCGCGGTCATGCAACATTGTACCCATATGAAATTTTGATCATTTTTTTCTCACAAATAGAGCTTTCTTTTGGTGGTATTTAATCGCCACTGGGCGCTTTACTTTTTGCGCTATAAATAAAAAAAGTGCAAAAAATTTGAAAGAAAAAAAAACGTTTCTTTGTTTCTATTATAAAATTTTTCAAACAGGTAATTTTTCTCCTTCACTGATGTGCGTTGATGAGGCAGCACTGATGGGCACTGATAGGCGGCACTGATGGGCACTGATAGGCGGCACTAAAGGGCACTGATAGGCAGTACTGAGGTGGCACGGATAGGCGGCACTAATATGCAGCACTGATAGGCGGCACTGATAGGTGACACTGATGATGGGTACTGATAGACGGCACTGACTGGCATCACTGCTGGGCACTGACTGGCGGCACTGACTGGCACAACCGCTGGGCACTGACTGGTGGCACTGACTGGCAGCACTGCTGGGCTGCACTGGTGGGTGGCACTGGTGGGCAGCACTGGTGGGTGGGCACAGGTGGGTGGCACTGGTGGGCACAGGTGGGTGGCCACAGGTGGGTGGCACTGCTGGGCACAGGTAGGTGGCACTTCTGGGCACAGGTGTGTGACACTGCAGAGTGGCACAGGTGGGTGCACTGCTGGGCACAGGTGGGTGGCACTGCTGGGCACAGGTGAGTGCACTGCTGGGCACAGGTGAGTGCACTGCTGGGCACAGGTGGGCGGAGCTAGTGGGCGCACTGCTGGGCACAGGTGGGCGGAACTTGTGGGTGGCACTGCTGGGCACCGATCATCAGGACACTGATCATCAGTGCCCTGATGATCGGTGCCGATCCTCGCTCTGACAACTGCCGGTTCTCGGCAGTACTTTCCTCACGATCTGACAGCGTGAGGAAAGTGCAGCCGAGAACCGGCACTTGCATTTCCCTGTGATCAGCGTGTCATTGGACACCGCTGATCACGTGGTAAAAGGCCGCTGTGATTGGCCTTTTACCACATCACGTGATCAGCTGTGTCCGTAGGACACAGCGATCACGGAGATCGCCAAGTGCGCGTTCTGGGAGGACGTCATATGACGTCCACCCAGAACTGGCCGGCCGCAGTGCAGCCGTCATTCGGCTATCTGCGGTCGGCAACTAGTTAAACATTGGAAAACAACAGGCCTGCATTGAGGGATAAAATCAAGAAATCACAAACCACCACATATTACATTATTTATACATTTATTTAAACCAAAAAAGTCATATTAAATCCATCCCCATATCTGTAACTTCCTCTTTCTTTTGGTGATTTACTGCGATGATCCCCTGAAATACTGTAGGCAATTTGCAATATGTCACTAAATCATAAGGACATCACCCCCATAAAATCTACAACATACGGAACATATTACTACAATTTTAAAACGTTTAGTATGAACTGAATTTGAATGCCTCACATTTTGTTATTCTAAAAAAAAAAAAAGTGTGCTCTATTCTTTTTTGGACTTGGACATTCCTTTAGAAGACTTTCGTCTACAGCAGCATCGATAGGTGAAGGTGCAGCATTTAAAACTTATGAAAAGTGAAGTGACCAAGACTGCAAATAGGAAGGCAAAAACATCTATGGAGTGATACTGAATCCAGTTCAAGTCATGGGCAGCTGGGCGCAAGTGAGGAGCTCCTTTATGTCTCATGACAAACTCTACCCAGTGCACCGCCAGGTCCAGAGGGTGGATGGGCCGGTCAAGATGCAGATCAGAAAGCCGCTGAATGTTTTCTTTGTAACTAAAAGAAATAAGAAACATGAGTTGTCACAGAATCTTTAAAGTTGAACTATATAGTGGGGAAAATAATTATTTGATCCCCTGCAGATTTTGTAAGTTTGCCCACTTACAAAGAAATGAACGGTCTATAATTTTTATCATAGGTGTATTTTAAATGATAGAGACAGAATATCAACCAAAAATCCAGACAAACACACGATGCAAATGTTATCAATTAAGTTACAGTTCAGTGAGTAAAATAAGTATTTGAACCCCTACCAACCAACAATAATTCTGCCTCAACAGACTGGCTATGTGCTCATGTAGTACACAGATTAGTCCTGTCAATTTAAGAAGGTGCTCTTAACGACAACTCGTTATGTGTATAAAAGACACCTGTACACAGAATCTCTTCCTTCCATTCAAACCTCACCACCATGGGCAAGACCAAAGAGCTGTCAAAGGACATCAGGGACAAGAATGTAGACCTGCACAATGCTGGAATGGGCTACAAGACCATCAGCAAGAAGCTTGGTGAGACGGAAACAACTGTTGGAGTGATTATTCACAAAGAAAAGAAATACAAAATAACCATCAATCGCCTTCGGTGTGGAACTCCATGCAAGATTTCGCCTAATAGGGAACTACACGGGAGGAGCTTGTGAATGATCTCAAGGCAATTGGAATCACAGTTACCAAACAAACCATTGGTAACACAATACACCACCATGGATTGAAATCCTGCAGCACCCACAAGGTCCCCTTCCTCAAGAAGGCACATGTAAGTGGGCAAACTTACAAAATCTGCAGTGGATCAAATAATGATTTTCCCCACTGTAGATAAATAGAAGAAGCTAAAACATCCTTGGACCCATTGTCAGACCCTACACTGGTGCAGTGGGTCCTGGGTTCCTCCTGGTGCATGACAATGCCCGGCCTCATGTGGCGAGAGTATGCAGGCAGTTCTTGGAGGATGAAGAAATTGATACCATTGAATGGCCCCCACGCTCCCCTGATCTAAATCCAATAGAACACCTCTGGAATATCATGTTCGGTGCACCTGACGCCACCAGGTTGCACCTTAGACTGTCCCAAGAGCTCAGTGATGCCCTGGTCCAGATCTGGGAGGAAACACCCCAGAACACCATCCGCCGTCTCATTAGGAATCTTCCCCTGATGTTGTCAGGCATGCATACAAGCACGTGGGGGCCATACAAACTACTGAGTACGTTATTGGGTATTCTTTGCAAAGTGAGACTGTGCCACATTAAACTTTGGGACAAATTCCCTTGCAAAGTGAACAGCCTATTTGGCTTTAGTAAATCAACCCCATTGTGTCTATATATGGACCTGGGTCCACACCTAATCAATGAATATTTAAATTTTCCTTGCATGGATGGTCAACATGCACCCTGCTGAGGCAGAGCTAGAGTTATTCAATCAGCAAGTAAAATAGCTTTGCAGATTTCAGCGCTAAATGCCCAGCGTGCATGAGGCCTAAAACTTTGAACACTTTTTGTTTTGATGCATCTAGAATTTATGTAGTTGATTTGAAGTAATAGATTAGATGGGCTTTAAAGTGATACTAAAGGTTCAGCTTAAAAAAACAGACATGTCATAGTTACCTGCTCTGTGTAATGGTTTTGCACAGAGCAGCCCCGATCCTCTTCTTCTTGGGTCCCCCACTGGTGCTCCTGGCTCCTGACCCCCTGCTGAGCTTCTTGCTCCAGGGGTATTTGTGTGTGCTGTTTCTCAAGCTACCTCTGTGTGTTCCTGAGACACAGTGAGCCAGGCTCAGCCCCACCCCTTGCTCCCTAATGTGATTGACAGAAGTGGGAGGGAGAGACCTGGGAGAGCTGCTGCTCTTGCGCACAACGCTAGATCGAGAGTGGGCTCGGGTAAATATTAGGGGGGCTGAGGGGGGAGCTGTACATACAATGCATGAAGGTAAACAATCTCCAGCCTTTACAACCACCTTAAACTCTGTTTTGTTTACCAGTCTAGATATATGGTGTATTGTAGATATGGTAACAGATCCTAAAAATATCACTAAAATAATTTTTTTGGGATTAGGTTGGTTAAAGAAAATGTGATTGAATACCATTGTTTTTAGACAATTTATCAATATTGTTTTTCTCAGTAAAGCGGTGCATATAAGCTGCATTGCTTTCTTAAATCAAGGCTGACTATGAAGATAGGAATGGAGCAAATGTAAATGTTTCATTAATACCTTGGATTGTTTATCACAGATGTCAGAGCATTGCTAAGATCTTCAGGTATCATGTCCAAGACATTCAGTGTGATTCCCGCTCCTCGAGATTCAATCCTCTTAGAGTTGTCCATTTGGTCACCAAAGAGTGGTAACATGACCATAGGGACTGCATTACAAATGCCTTCATAGATTCCATGTGAACCCGCATGAGTGATAAAGGCACGGGCCTTTGGGTGAGCTGATAAAAAAAATACAAAAAAATGGTTGCTGCATTATTCTACTGTGGAACTGACAGAGTACAGTGTTTATATAGCGCCAAAGGGTATGCTCAGCGCTGTACAGTAGCAAGGGGGACAGAACATGAGACAAGACAGAAACAATACAATAAATGAGGGGATCGAGGGCCCTGCTCTTTCGAGCTTACAATCTATGAGTTGAACAGTTACTTGTACATGAATGCCACAACCATCTTTAAGAAGATCACTAGATGAGCATTCAGTAAGAGAAGTGTAGAGATAATCTTTAACCACTTTCTGTCCAGCACAGTACCAGTATGTAGCTGAATATGAAGGGTTATATCTTGGTCATCGCTGCAGTGATAACCGAGGTATCAGGCTTTCCAGCCAGAAATTATGAAGCTGGTAAAAGTAATTTGAGCAGCTGAAGAACCACTGGATTACTTTTACAGGCAGCGGAAGGGGGTCCCACCCTCCTCCCACTGTTGCCTTTACTGGCTTTCCTGAGCGATTGGGGAGCCTGGTAAGGATGCAACTGGCGGAATCCGGCTCTGGACACAGCAATCACATGATTGGAATGCCCGCCTCTGTCTCCCAGCATTTAGAACCTCTTAAAGGTGGAAGCAGGAAGAGGTTAAAATGTGTATTAATTACTTCAAAGCATGTCAAAAAACTTACCCAGCAGATCATTCTGTGGCAGCCATTTCACTAGGTGGGTGTTTTCACCCAGATTGGAAGGCTCGGGCCCCGTATACCTCCATATAACCTGAAAGGAAAACACAATAAATGAGTGATCTATCCATATACAGAAATGACATGGTACTGCCAGAAGTAATTTACTATCTAATTTATGCAACTTTAATCCGTTTTCATTTCCAGTAACAGAAAACTCTGAAGGCCCATTCAGAAAGACACTACATTAATGCACATACGTTAATGCAATGCATTTCACTCATTGAAATGCACTACATTAAGGCAGCCTAATAATTTTGAAGGGACTAGCAACACAACTCAAAGCACAAAAAATAACACATTTCAATAAAAATTTATTGAAATAAAAAAAACACAAAAAATTAGACCTGTTACTATTATTTTTTACACACCAAAACATATTGCACAGACATATCATGTGCACATGCATTGTTGAGATTGGAATGATATTCAAAATGAATGGTACCACAATGTGTAATGGGAATTGTAGGGTAATCTGTGTTTGCAGAATGTGATGATGTGAATGGGCCCCAAAGCTGACAACAATCTCCAATCTAATTGTACAGTCTACCAACAACTGTGTGATGAAAAGTGCAGTCTGAATTAATGCAAATGGTATGCATGCTGTTTATGTACGATGTGGGCTGTATTTTCATTAACATACACTCATTTCTTTTTTTAAAAGATCAAAAACATTTTTTTCAATTCACTTAAAATGGTTGTAAAACATTCTGCACCCCCCCCCCCCCAAGACTTACCTGAGCCCCCTCTGGATCCAGCGATGTGCACAAGAGCAGCAGCTCTCTAGGGACTCTCTCTCCTCATTGGAGAAGGCAGCAGTGAGATCCATTGGTTCCCGCTACTGCCAATCGCAGCCAGTGAGCTAATGAGGAAACAGTGGAGGTGGGACCGAGCCGCTCTCTGTGTGTGAATGGACATGCATAACAGCGCCTTGGGAGAAAGCCTGTCAGTTGTCCCCATAACAAGCTGCTTTTTCTGGGGGCGCTTGACAAGAGGGAGGGGCCAGGAGCGCCAGCGAGGGACCTGAGAAGAGGAGGATCTGGGCTGCTCAGTGCAAAACCACTGCACAGAGCAGGTAAGTATGATATGTTTGTTTTTTTGTTATTTATTTTTTAAATAAATTGCCTTTAATATCACTTTTAAAGTAGAACTTATAGCAAAACATTTTTTTCTTGTTATGGATAAAGTAAAGTAAGCTTAGAACCCCTATCAGTTTGTGCCATCCAAGTCCCATTGGGCAATTTCCCTTCACTTCCTGCCCCATAAACAAAACAGGAAGTGAGAGGAAATCCTACTAAAGGGAGGAAATCCCTGGTTGTCACCAGGGTCACCCAAACTATTGTCCTTATTGCATGATTTCGCCTCTATTCCTGTTCCGATATCAACCAAAAATTGCAAATTTTCTTTTACTTTCACTTTCATTAATAATGGTAAAAATTACAAATAAAATTATTCATGCCTTTACATACCCGATCCTCCACTCCTCGGTGCTCCCCTATGCTCCAGCAGTGGACTGTCCCTCAGTGTCCTCATGTCCAGAGAAGAGCTATGGATCCTACACTAGTCTTCGTGAGACCTTAGACCAGTGAAGTGTAGAGGAGATAACACTGAGGACAGGTCTAGCAGCAGCTGGGATGAGTGGATGATAGGGTAAATAAATCTGCTTTTTCCTGAGTTGGGCTTTAAGGCAGTGCTGAGAAATCAATTGAATTTAGTCTAGACACATTATTTTATTGATATGATATTTTCACACAAAAACAAGTAAACTTTTCACCCTCTTTATGAGAATATCATAGATTCTTTTTCATAATCCATAAAATCAACCATTTTGTTTTGTAATTACTAGACTGAATTGATGGTTTATGATTTAACATTCTTAAATGGCTTTAAGATTGATTTTAAGGCTTAAGATTGTTTTTATTGATATTTTAAAGATTTTTTTTTTCTCTAGGATGTAGACCCCCACACACACACATTTTATTTTAATTACACATACAGAAACAATTGCTTGGACCTTGAAGAAGGGGACATACTCCAAAAGCTTGTCCTGAAAATTGTATGTTAGTGCAAATAAAAAAAAGTATCACAGACAGTACTCAATTGTTTCTGTTGCAAGTGCACTAATACGGCTACAATCACCTCAGGCACTTACACATATAGAATACTGTATATGGTAGTAACATGAAGAAGATGAAAAGTATTCTGTTTTGTTTATTGATAACTTGTACATATCCAATGACTCTAGACCTAGGTAGGTTTGATGACCTAGGTGTTTGATGTGATAGTTTCAATGACAGTTCAATTCACAAATGGCTTATTGCTCCTTAAAACATCACTAGCTTCAGGCCTGTGAAGTTTTTTACTTTCAGTGAGGTACTGTATGTATTGAGGAAAATGTCAAAATGAGTCATTTGATGTGATAATATAATGTGACTTCAGGGTTAGCCTTGTTATTGCAGCAAAAAATGAAACAGTTCCTGTCCACATCATTGTCCACATAACTGTGCCCAGGACTATTAGGAGGTCACTCCATCCTAACTATATTTCAGATTTACATAGATGTTGGAGGATTAAACCATGGAACTGAATCTCATGCCTTTCACGGACTTTAGTGATAAGGTCCATACATCTGTAGCTATTACAAGAAAGTGAAACCGTAAAGCGGACATTCGCCCTTATAATAGTTTTTCACTTCTGGTTGCTCCCTCTGCCTCTTCCATGAATAAAGATTGTCCCCTCGCTCCTCCAATGTTTTTAACCATTTTAATACTGCAGCCCAGCACTTCCTCCTTCCTCACCTAGGCAAGATGGATATACACCCCCTAGCTGCCTTCTGGGATGTGTGATGTGGAAGTGTGTTGCCAAGGGGCACCTCTGCACTGTGGAATTCCATGCATGCTCACATGTGACATCTTGCTTTGTCAGGTATTGACACAGGCTGAGACCTCCCATGCACACACATGGCGCAACCCTCTTGTTCCCCCATGGCACTTCTGCACGCATGAGAAAAGTAAGCAAGGTGCAGAATAAGGAGGGTGGGACTACAGTATTGCCAAGGTGAAGTTCCTCTTTAATCCATTGAATTATTAAATGTTTTTTATATTGTGGACCATGCAATGGGGAAATTAAGAAACACCCTGGTAGTTGCAAGCGGAGTAAGACTGTAGGGGATTGAGAAATGATGGTGGAGATGGAAAGTAATGGAGGACTACCCTGGAAGCCCACAAAAATATGAGAAGCCAGCAGGTGATTAGCCTAGCTGACATCACCAATAACTGCAATACCACATTTACATTTTAAAGACTAAGAAGAAACACTTACCATTTGAGGAATGGATCTTAAAGCCTCTGCTATATCCATAGCCTTATGGATAGGGATTTCCGATACCATAGATCCAAGTGAGAAAACCACAAAGCCATGATCCCCAGAACTGTTTACCAGCTTCTCAAAGTCCTACAGATAGAAAACATTAAAGTTAATATTTCTTATGTAAAAGAAAATGTAAGCGTACATTACAACTCAAATTTTATGGAATCATTTGTGCAAGAGGTATAGACTCCAGAGAGAGAGATATAATTTTACCCCTGCACAAATCATTAGTAAGGCCTCTTCTGGAATATGCCATTCAATTTTGGGCACCAATTCAATTTGCTGGGTTTTCTGCCTTCCTCTAGATCAACTGTGGGTGTAGGATTATAACTTTTTTTTTTAATGGTTGAACTGAATGGACTTTTGTCTTTTTTTCAGCCAGACTAACTATGTAACTATGTAAAGGGATGTTCTAGAAGTGAAAGTGGATAAGCCTATTAACCATTTCACACTGATACCTGTTCATGTCTCTCTGTCTGCTGTGGAAGGACCAAATTGGCAATTGATGCTTGAAAACACATCTGCTATTGCCTCATTTATGCTGCTAGTGCAAAGGGGAACTAACATTTTTTCAAATAAAGTGTATGTAAACCCTAACAATGAACATGTCTTATTTTCTATCTTTTTGTCTGTTAAAATGAATATCCAACCAATTTTTTCAGTAGAGTGGGGAATGGTTAGAACCCCTGCAACCCTGCCAGGTTTTTTTTTGCTGCTATCTGGGGCTCTGTTTACCCTCTTGTTTTACCAGACAGAAAGTGAGGGAAATTCTTGAACAGCAATACTGGCAGAAATAGAGATGCCTTTTTTCAGGAAAGTAGGGGAAGGCTAAAACCCCTCTTAGTCTTTTGTTTCTGTCTGTGTCCCTGTTGCAGATCTTTCTTCCCTCACTTTTTGTCTGGTAAAATGTTGTCAGCAGGACAAGAAGTTGGAGAAAACGTTGGTTCGAATCCCAGCCACGGCACCACCTGCCTGGAGATTGCAAGTTCTCCCTGTGCCTGCGTGGGTTTCCTTTGGGTACTCCGGTTTCCTCCTACACTCCAAAGACATGCTGGTAGATTAATTGGATCCTGTCTAAATTGTCCCTAATATGTGTATGTATGAATGTAAGTTAGGGACCTTAGATTGTACACCCCTTGAGGGTTAGGGACTGTTGTGAATGTACAATATATATGTGTAAAGCGCTGCGTAAATTGACAACGCTATATAAGTACCATAAATAAATAATAATTGAGCCCTGGATTGCAGTAAAAACCCAACAGAAGTTCAAATTCTTCCCCACTTCAACAGTTTTTTTTTTTTTGGCTTGGCATACACTATATATGCAACTGAAACAGTTTTTTTATGTTTTCGATCCTGTTTTTTTGCTATATCTGTCTATTCTATCCTGTGTCCTATGCATCTGCACACTTTTTATGTTATTTCAAGGAGTCTGATCAGCCCACCTAGTTGTTATCTTGGGACTTTGAGTACTTTAGCAAAAGACAACTGGACAGTGCTGACAACACTCAGCTGTCAAAGATGCTGTCAACTCACAACAGGACATAGGAGTTCAATGCAGGTAGAAGATATTTACATGCCATCACTTCTAGAAAAATTCCAAAGACAATAAGTTCAGTAATGCATTTTACTTGAGGGCTTTTTAGTTCCTTTGGCCTACTTGCTGGGACCTGCCCTGTTATTTTGTCTAATACAAGTCTAAGTTTTGTACATGTTACTACATAGCATTTCAATATTCATTTATTGAAACAAAGGGCCCCACTTACAACGATGTGTTTACCATGTGTGTTAATGCACAGTAACGCTTGTGCAGAGGTTTGCCATTGTTTTTAATAGTGCTTGTTCACAGTGCATTATTTGTTACTATGTGTTAGCTAAAAAGTTCACGTCCATTTTTATACACTTTTGACATATACTGTTGTGGTTTTTGGTGGCGGTTGCAGCTCATGAGCTGCTCAAAACACTAAAAAAGCCAGATGCGTTGGTATGAATCCAGCAGAATCAAGCAATCAGACGTCTGCTCTTTACCAAACTCAGTAATAATATTATATAGGCAGCTTAACTATTTATTACCATTTTTCATCTGGTACAAATAGGTTTGCCTCTGAAAAGAAGCAAGATTTCTACATTTGGTCAAGAGCTTGAATTGAGACCCAAATAAATACTATTTGTATTGAATTATTCCACTTTCCTTTCTAAACTTATTATAAGCACCCATAGCATCAAAATGGAAAGACCATGATAAATACTGGAGCAACATTTGTTGTATATCTAAAGGTGATGCAAATAATCTACAGTTAAAAACACTCACCATAAAATAACATTTAATTTCTATGCTATTACCACTTACAACCTGAGATGTTTGTTTTTGCCAGTACAAAGTCCACACAGCCTCATACTATGGCCCCATCTGAACAAATGTTGTAAGAATCACAGTCTTTGCATTTCATTGTGTACACAGCTGAAAAAAAAACTTTTTTTTATTTAGCTCATACTCAGCAGATTACTTAGCTGATATATCAAACAAATGTTTCCCCTATTGGTCTGCTATGGTCACCTTTTTCTGCAAAACATTAGAAGCTAGGTATTTATTGTTTTTATTCATCAATTTAAAAGCAAATTATCCATAGAGAAAATCAGAAATGTGGTATCGTTTAAAGCCTAACTCCAGCTAGAGTGTGAAAAAGTTAACAATTCCCTCCATATTTTTTGTTTGTTATTTATACCATTGCTATGGATTTCCTTCACTTCCTCTTCCTGGAACACCCATACAAGGAACAGGGGAGCTCCTGTCATCAACTGCACAGGAAGACAGGGTCAGTAATAAAAACATTGCCATAAATTCTAACCTTTTCCTCATTCTCCTAAGAATGTGTTTGTTGTCTAAATCCCCACTGGAGAGATTTCACATCAGCTCCCAAACAGGTGGGAAGAACATCACCAGCACAATTAGGTTCTCCAGTTATGGGTCCAACGCTTTAATAAGCAATCACATAGTTACAGTAAGTACGACGTTCCAGAGTCTCGCAGGACCCCTTCATCAGGCATCGTCATGTGTCTGATGAAGGGGTCCTTCGAGATTCCAAAACGTCGTACTTGCTGTAAGTATGTGATTACTTATTAAAGCTTTGGACCCATAACTGGAGATCCTCGGTGTGCTGGTGATGTTCTTCCCATCTGAGTCTTTTCAGTTACAGCCGTTGGTCTCTTCAGCACTCACTTACTCATACAGCTAATTTTTTTTTAAAATGCAGGAACATGTGCGTTCGGATTGTGTTATCTCACCAACAGGGACACAAATGGCAATAAAAACCCTGACCAGGGTTCTAGACCTTCCACACTCTATCCAAAATAAAACGTTTTGGCTGGAGTTAAAGTAGAACTTCACTCTTTCAGTCAGCATGGACTCTTTCTAATCCTTATGCTGCTAGCATTAGTAAATAAATAAGGAAAGTATATTATATTTTAACCTTTTTTTGCATTCCTTTATTTACTTCCTGGTTTCCATGCCTAGGCAAATTATGTCATACATCCCAGGAGTCTTCTGTAGGGGAGGGAGGGTTCTCAGCTGAGTCAATGCCTGAGCTAAGGGCTGATGGATTCCAGGAAGTAACAGCTGCATGATTCATCTGCCCTTACTCAAGATGGCCACTGCCAGAAATGCCAGCAGGTGCTTTCTCAGCAAAATAAAGCATGGCGACATGGATGGATGGAGGAATTTGTTTTGCATATTTAAAATTAATTATATAGCATTTTTGGTTTGTGGTACTCAGATGCAGTGCAGCTTCACTTTAAGGGATAATAATGCAGTAAGTGACTGTTTTACAATAGCAAGCAACATACAGTAAAAGAGAGAGGACATGAACACTGCCTGGTTAAAATGTCAAACCTTGTCTAAAGTCATTTAAAAGATATAGAGACAAAGATGCCCAATATTTTGCAAACATTTCTCCACATGACAACATTTCAGGCAGTCAGGTAACAATGGCAAAGTCTTGAAGCTAACCAATTGCTTTGCTATTATGTGGCACATGCCACCATATCATCGGCTGGTGATTCTAATGTTTTAACTAAAGCGGAACTATAATCGCCTCCACTACAGCAATGCAGTGTCCTGCAGCTCCCCATTTGGCTGCTGACATTTTCAACGGGTCTTCTTCCAGGTTTTGATCTTCATCAATTTTGATTGGCTGACCTGAGATGACATCACTCCCCAATTCATTCATCTCGCCAGATGCCAAAATTGGGAACAGGTAGGTAAGAATACATGAAAAAAGAAGATTCATTGCATCTCTCTCCTGTATTAGGAGAACTGCCTGTTTGCAAATTTGTATCTAAATTTAAGAGTTGGATTCTACAATGTGAGGTACTCCATATAACCACAAACTGATGAAGCGACAGCCCCAGTTTCTTTATCAGATAGACCGCGATGACCAACTTGCGGCCTAAGGGCCACATGGGGCCCTTTGAGATATGATGTGTGGACCTTGGACTGCAGCTGTTTGTAGTGGGAACATTGATTAAGGTAATTCTATTGATCTCTACTAGTCTCATGTACCGTGATCCCAATTTCATACATATCCCCAGCCACAAATGTAGCAGGTCCACACTCTCTGACCCTCATTTCCTCTGTTAGATCTGCAGTTTCTGACAGTCTTCTTAAGCATTACATATATTAAACATTATGTGTGGCCCTTTGGTGATGTCAGAGGCCCAGAGCTGATAGGTTGCAAACCACTGAGTTAGACCCTTTTGATCACAGATAGACAAGTCATATAATAACATTTTCTACCTGGTTTAAAGGCTTCCTGTTGACACAATTGATGCCACCTATAAAAACCATGTTTGGCATTATAGGCCTTGGGTACTCAAAGACAAAGTCATATCTCAGCAGCCATATAGAAGCTCGGCTGAAAAGATCTACAGATGTCACATCTCTTCTCAGAAACTCTGAGGCAACATGAGCGTAGGGGGAATAAAGCATATGGCAGAGTGCATAGTCAAATAATTGGACTAGAAGATTCTTCACCCTGTGGCTGAAGTCCATATGGTCAGTGTAAGTTGTGAACAATCTAGGTATATAAGAAGGGGGGCTTGGTGACTGAGAAGCTTCTTCATCCATGCCAAAAGGAGTCCCACGCATGAAGTGCACAGATGGAATAGAGAGGTACTCAGCTACAATCTGACCACAAGGAACAGCTGGGTCACTCAGCAGAACATCGAATTTGGCTTGTTCCAAATATTTGATAAGTGTTTCATTCTGAAGAAAAAGCTTGCAGGAAGTCAACAGCCAGTCAGCTGAATTTGTAACTCTCTCATACAATGTCTTTAACTTTTGAGGCACTGTTTTATATTCAAACACTTCTTTGCTCACTTGTTTTACCTGGGCTTCCATAAATTCTTTGCTGAAAGGCAGATTATAGGATTGCACTGGAAAACCCAAGTCATTAAGGAAAATATTAGGCTCAGGAACAACCACAACAACCTGATGTCCTCTGTGAGACAACTTCTCCACCATACCACGCATGCTGAGCCAATGGCTTCCTTCTTGAGGTATCACTAACAGTTTACCACTTTCAGTCTGGTTAATAGTTGCCAAAACAAAAAAGATTTTAATAGTTAAAGAGAGAAAAGTGTGAATATGCATAATTGCAGTATATTCAGAACACAGTCAACAACAGCAGCTTCTTTGGTACAATAATCCCAAAATGAAGGCTTGTACTAGCAGCAACAAGACAGTGTTCAAGGTTCGTTGATCTGCTGAGATGTTTAAACTCCAGACAAAACCTGTGGTTTCTCAATATTCATCTGTAATAAAATGCATCAATTAAAAAAAATGTAAATACTGTCTATAGTATGTGCTAATACTGGCCTCATGAGAAATGACAGATAAATGTCTTCAAAACTCACTAAATTCTAATAAAACCCATTATGAATTGGACAACTAATTAGCACACCTTAACAAATACATAGTCTAATGAACTAGAATTACCAAGCATTTACAAGCATTGATAATGCAAACAAGGTCTTACCAGGAAAGGTATGTTTTCTGCATAAAGCAGCCTAAAAATTAAATAGCAAACATTAGACAAAATGAAATTACTCAGTAAGAACCTTCACAATATTGAAATATTCTGAACAAGTTTGGCTTTTAACAATGCCAGTTTAAGGCTCCATGTACACGGGACATTTGAAAAACACTTCTTAATGATGGAAACTGACTGCTGGAAAACATAGGTTAAAAAACGTCTGTTTAGCCACGTTTGCATACTGCGTTTATGCGCGTTTATGAGCGTTTGCATTTAGAAGCGTTTTCTAACTACTTGCCAACCGCAGATAGCCGAATGACGGCTACACTGCAGCCGACCAGTTCTGGGAGGGCGTCATATGACATCCTCCCAGAACGCGCTCTCCTGCGCGCCCCCGGCGATTTCCCTGATCGCTGTGTCCTATGGACACAGCTGATCACGAGATGTGGTAAAAGGCCAATCACAGCGGCCTTTTACCATGTGATCAGCCGTGTCCAATGACATGCTGATCACCGGGAAATGCAATTGCCGGTTCTCGGCTGCACTTTCCTCACGCTGTCAAAACGTGAGGAAAGTACTGCCGAGAACCGGCAGTTGTCAGAGCAGAGATCGGCACCAATCATCAGGGCACTGATGATCAGTGCCCTGATGATCGGTGCCCAGCAGTGCCACCCACCAGTTCCGCCCACCTGTGCCCAGCAGTGCACCCACCTGTGTCACCCAGCAGTGCCACACACCTGTGCCCAGAAGTACCACACACCTGTGCCCACCCACCTGTGCCCACCAGTGCCACCCACCTGTGCCCACCAGTGCAGCCCAGCAGTGCTGCCAGTCAGTGCCACCAGTCAGTGCCCAGCGGTTGTGCTAGTCAGTGCCCAGCAGTGATGCCAGTCAGTGCCACCTATCAGTGCCGCCTATCCGTGACACCTCATTAGCGCACATCAGTGAAGGAGAAAAATTGCCAGTTTGAAAAATTTTATAATAGAAACAAAGAAACGTTTTATTTTTTTTTTTTTGCACTTTTTTTGTTTATAGCGCAAAAAGTAAAACACCCAGTGGCGATTAAATACCATCAAAAGAAAGCTCTATTTGTGAGAAAAAAAAATTATAAAAATGTCATATGGGTACAATCTTGCATGACCGCGCAATTGTCATTCAAAGTGCAAAAGCGCTAAAAGCTGAAAATTGGCCTGGTAAAGAAGGGGGTATAAGTGCCCGGTAGGCAAGTGGTTAAAAATAACCTCAGCAGACCTTCCAAAATGCCCAGAATGCACTGAAAAACAGTAAACAATTACTATTTTAGACATTTTGAGAGAAATAGAGAGAGCAGAAGCACAGAGAGTAGTATTTGTTGAGATTAGCTGTCTTTTTTTTTTTTTTGGTGTTTGGATGTGTTCCAGCTCACTTCTGTGGCAGAAATTATTGCAGCAGTGTCTAACATATTTTCTTTCATGCGAAACCTCAAAGTATGGTGTACCAGGTCCATTTGAATACCGGGAAAACGCTTTGCATGCATTTTTCATGATGAAAATAAGGCTCTGGACAGCATCTGAAAATGGAAGAGTTAAAAAAAATTGCAAATGCTTATAAACGCGGTTAGCCACGTTTACACACTTTTGGCGTTTGAAAACGACTATAAACTTAACTGCCTGTAAACGACATAGTGTACATGGACACATAGGAAAACATTAAGGAGAGTTCAGGGGCTGCTGAAAAATATGCAGAAAAGCTCCTAAACGTGAGTTTATCAGCTGCAGTGTACATGAAGCCTTAACCTGTATGTACTGTAACTATCCTTCACTAATCCACTGTGTCAGCACCTGCTGACATGGCGGTAAGTCACATGACCCAGGCTGGGTAGGGAGCTGACCAATGACATCAAGTTTCCCTGTAGTCTACGAGTGTGCCTGTATGTCTCTCTGTCTCTCCTCCTTCTGGGAGCCTGCACCTCCCATGCGGTCCACCAGAGGTGGTTTAGAGTGATGACATCATCACTACCATCCTTACTGGTTTAGGTGTTGCAGGCTCTCATTGGAGGAGGCAGGGTCGTTTTCGTTAAAAGATGTGGGCTGTTTCCTGTGTTCTGCTGCTGCCCTAGTCTCACTATTTACTAAGCAAGTGTTATTCAGCCTGTCCACTGGCTAGCTCTCACTCTCTGTGTTAACATCTTCCTCACCTCTTCCAGCCTTCTTCTGTGATCCTTCTTGGTTAGCTGCCTGGAGTATGCTCCTGTTGTTTCTCCTGTTGCTGCTGTGCTCTGCTGTGCAGTGTATTGTGGTGAGTTCCTGGATTCCCTGTACGTGTTAAATTGTTTCTTGTTCCTTCTTTGCTTCAAGCAGTGTAGATTTTTCTTGCTGAGTCTATCTTCTTTCCTCTTAGCCCAGGATGAGCTTGCCTGCTCCTGAGGATGAGGCACTGACGTCTATAGAAAGGTAGGGGACCTCTTTGTGGGATCTGGACTGATACCCATGTTGTTCTGTTGACATTGAGTGATCTTTCCTTAACGCAAGGGGAGAGGTGCTATCACCGAGGCAGCAAGAGAAATATTTAGCCTTCAAGTAATCATTGTTCTCCATCTCTGCATGCCTCTCATTCTAAGGTGAAGTTTCAACAGTACATTGTGTAACATAGCTAGTCTTCAGCGTCGGTTAGTTTGTCTTCCAGGCAGCGCTGGGTGCTTTTGTCCATCAGCCAAAGGCAAGTTGCCACTATGGATTCAGTAGCCAGAATGTGTTGGGCTTGTGGAACAATGCCCTTGCTATGCTTCAAGGAAGCTTCTCAGAGCAGTCAAGCAGTAAATGAAGATATCAAGTCGTATAATAAAGTGGCTGTGGAGGAGGGTGTGAAAAGTCTTCTACCAGGGCCCTTCAGTAAAAGTACATGCACACGATGGAGGACACAGGAGGAAGTTTCACCAGAGCCAGGAGCTATAAACAGCATTTCAGATGTGGATTCAGAGGCCGGGCAGGATGAGTTGGAGCCGTTTCTTTAATTTTAACCTTGTTCCCTCCATATCTGCAGAGAAATAGGCTATTGAATGGGAGGAAGATTCATCTGCTCTGCAAGATCATAGGAAGTATTACCCAAATTTAAAAAAGGAACTTCCCAAATTTTCTTTTATGACAGAAATAAGAGAGCTTATGAAAGAGGAATGTGACAAACTAGACAAGAAGCCTGTGGTGCAGAATAGAGTAAACAAACTACATCCGTCCTGGCCATCTGATGAGTCCTGGAACTCACCTCCGAAGGTGGACGCATGCTTACAGAGCCTGGCAAGGCAACCTCTCTCCGTGCAGGCCCATCAACCCTGGAGACTGGGTCACGATTACTTCAGTTGCCAGTCTCCAGGGTTGGGGGGCTCATTGTCGGGACCTGAGGGCTCAGGGAACATGGTGTTCTCAGATTCTGTGTTATTCCAATCTGCTGGAACTGAAAACACCCAAGGAGGCTCTGAAGACATTTCTACCTGTCATTCGGGGCAAGAGAATCAGGTTTCTGATGGACAACAGAACCGCTGTTTCATACATAATGAAACAAGGGGAAAAAGGAGTCTGCAGCTTCTCCAGATCACGGCAGAGATCTTCCCATTTTCTAGATTTTTCTGCAACGTATCTACTGGGTCCCTCAGAACACTGTTAGACCAGTTGAGCTGTTGGTTCTTAAGCCATACAGAGTGGATGATGAATCCAAGATATCTGGCAGAAGTATTCGCTCAATGGGGAATTCTCGAGGTGGATCTCATGGTAAATCTGAGCAACTGCCAGGTACCTCACTTCTTCTCCCGCTTGTTCTGTCCACAAGCTCTAGCCCGAGATGCCTTCTCCCAGATGCGGAACTTAAAGCAAGTTTACTTTTTTCCGCCAACTGCTCTGATACTCAAGTCATTACTGAAGATCATGGAGGAAGAGGTGTCAGCAATAATGATCAGGGCTTTTTTTCAGTTCTGGCACCTCCAGCACTGTTCAAAATCATGTACAGTATATATACATGATTTGCATTTCTGGGTGGGGAGCATGCGCGCCGCCCTACCCGCACTGCCATTGGCGGCTAAGGATGTCAATCACCAGGGCCCTTGCCAGGGCGAGCGTCTGGCAAGGGTTGACAGGGGAGAGACATGTTTGTAAACAACACAGGTCTCTCTCCTGCCAGCATGGACATGCTGCTTTGTATTTCTCACCACACCAAAGAATGTCTCCCTAGTAAAAAACACACAGTACATAATGTAAAGCAGCACACAGTTAACCCTTTGATCGCCCCAGATGTTAACCCCTTCCTTCCC